AAGTGTTCAGACTACATAGCCAGAAACCATTTTGACCAGTTAACTATTGCTTATTTTTTTAAAGGAGCCCATGCTGCTCATTGCAAAACTGCTAATTGCCAGTTGATTCCTCTCCCTTGCTAAATCAGAGCCAACTTGAAGAGATGACGTACAGCTTCATGGCTAATGGGACCCATATTTATAAGCCCATGTCTTAGGGCAAAATGTTTTCACATTTGGTGGCGTTATAAAACAATAAAATGGAAGACCTGCAAGGAAACTTCAAAGGTTGAAAGGTATGGCTATTCCAGAATTCCCCAAGTAGATTTCTTGAGAAATGTTGCACCACAATTTTCATTTCCTTCAACCAGCATGATCAATGACATCACCAGAAGCACCAGAAGGCTAGTCTATTCTAATGATGTATTTTTTCCTAACAAAAGCAATGAAATAAAGATATTTACAAGCACTAAGTGATTTACAGTATACAAAGAGATTGTCTTCCATCCTGGATTGATGATTTTATTTTTTTATTTTGCTTTTCTTTTTTCTTCTTTCATTGTAAGCCGCCTGGAGTCCTAAGGGATTGGGCGGCCTATAAATTTAATAAATGAATGAAATGAAATGAATGATCATATCTCCTTAATGTCCTTTCTGACCGGACATAGTCCATAACCTAATTTAAAAGAAAAAAGATCATTGTATACAACTACCTGTGTGGATTGAAGTAATATAAATAAATTGTCATATATGTCTTTATTCTTTCCCATAGCATAGAAATAACTTTTTAGAAATCGACAGCTTGCACCCTCTTGAGTAGTGTGTCAAACAAGGCCACAAGTGGCTCCTTATTTGGTTGGGACTCTCAAGGCAACTCCAGAATATAATTAATCAGTTAATGTGACAGATATAGAACATTAATAAATGCATATGGAATACTCAACTTAGTTATACAGAGGAAACACACCTATTTTTAGAATTAAATTTAACTAAATAAATTATAGTCAAATTAGCTTTTCTTCTGCCCCCACCTACTTTTTGGATCAAAATGTTCATGCTGTTCAAAGGCTACATATTCCTGCCCTTGAAGATAATCTGCTACTAGAAGGTATCCTGGTGTCCATTACTAGTCAAAGCTAGTGATGGGTGGGATCAGATCAATATATTAATGAGACCACCCCTCCCCTTTCTCCCTCTCTCTTTTTTCTAGGTCTACTATCACTTCTTTCTCAAGTTCTCCTTTTCTCTGCTACCACTCCCCTCTCTGGCTGGGTTTGCTTGCAATCTAGGCTAATTTGTGGTTTAGCTCATTGTGCTAACTCACAAAGTCAGCTTCAGTAAGTCATCGTTTAGTTAATGAATGAATATGACTTTCTTCCTCTTCCTGTTTCTCTGTCTTCATCTCTACCGAGTGGCTTGCCAAGCAAGAGAGAGATCTCTCTCATTAAAGTTTTTCATTGACCATTTGTAAAAGTCAATGCCACAAATCCACTGATGGCTCCAACTGAGTCATGGCACTTAAGGTCTTCTTTACATTACAGTGGTCACTTAAGGGGGTACCTATTATAGCCACTAGGTTTCTTGTCCCCCTAATATTTATTATTGCTTTGTTTTTTCCTCCTTTAATTTTTGAATCTCTCTTCTTCCTTACCCCAAACTGGCCATCTGGTATGTTGCTAAACAAAGAAATAAGCTCCAGTACCTTTTTCTGAGAATGTCATTGGGCTCATATGAACTCTGGAGACATTCAAAACAATAGTAGGCGGATGCAACCCAGTAAGTCAGATAGGAGAGTGTCGAACTATCCAGAGAAGAAGAAAAAGGTAATGCCAGAAGACCAGTTAGTGATAAGGGTCTGTTTTGCTTGCAAGGATGGGTATCTTTTGCCTGGTGATTTTTAATGTTGTGTCTGCCTGGGAATGTATCTCACCAAATTATTTTTGTCTTTGTCTTTGATACAGATATGGGACTTTTGCATCCTTGAAAATGGCTTTCTTGCAGCTGGCAGCCCACAATAGGCAAACCTCTTCATGACAGCCATTTTTTGAGACCCTTTTGACAATTTCCCAACATTTTAAAGACATCCTTTGGCTCAGAATAGTTGCAGTCCCACACACGAACTCTTTTCTAAATCTCACCTCCACATTTTGCCTGTTACCTCCTGCTTTGTGTCAGTGAGTTCCAGAAGTTGTTTATAGTTTGGATCCAAATTTTATAGTAACTCTGCTGTATAAACAGTATTTGCACAACATGCTTCAGTTGGCTGATTTATATATTTAATATATTTTGAGCATTTACATTTTACAGGACAATCAATGAGGAACCAGGTTATGTTTGCAGAATACGGAGTGAAAACAAAAGAAACAGAAACACTAGCAGTTCTCATACAGAATACTACATTTGGTTAGTTTTAAAAAGTAATGTTTGCCTAGCAGGCAATCTATAACATTTATGGTGAGTCAGTACAATGAATTAAATTTGACTCACTGCTTGCAGTTTTTTCTTTATGAAAGCAAATGTAATTCCTCCTCCAGTTATCTCCTAATTAAAATCTCTATCTTTATCTTATTTATGTTAATGAATAAAGTGAGGTTCCAATTTGATGTTCATCAGATGTTTTGGACTGCAGTATATTTTCCATCATCCTTGATCCTTGGTCATGATAGCAGGGCTGATGGGAATCATAATTAAAAATGGAAAGCACCAGATTGAAGAAGAATTAGAAGCTCTCTAACCAAGCTGCCCTTCTAGAGATGGCCTCCATTCAGAAGCAGAGACAAACCATACCAACCACACTTATCTGATTGACTCAAGGAAGAGGGATCAAGGTCTATTTTTCAAGTGTGGGTAGCATTGTAGCATAGAGAAATTAAATTGAGCTGACTTTGGGAGTTCTATGTTCAATCTCTCTGAGTCATGTAACTTAGTGATTGAATTCTCACAGTGTAATGTCCAAATTAATAAAATATGCCCACACACTGTATGCCACATACATGCCACAGTTTACATCCTATGTATTTACTACTTTGTAATGAAATTAGCCTAATTCATTTCTCAGAATATGTTGGACCTCAAAATTGTTAATTCCATTTCAGCCCAGTGTGGCACATTGTATGAATGCAATTAGTGAGTAAATCTGAGCCACCAGAGAGTTTCCATGAGTTTCCTTCCTTCTTAAGTTCACCTTCCCAGTCACAAATGGGGGAATGCAAGGGGAGAGAAAGCAAAGATGGGGGGGGGGGGATGAGTGAATAGAACACTTTCATTTTTTCTGACATAAGGAAAGCAATTACCAAAGGGAACTAAACTGCAGGAAGCAGAATTCAGAATGTTGACTGCTGCTGAGAAGGTGCAACTTCAAATTCTCCTACCCTTTGCTTGAAGCTCAATAGTTGATTCTCAACAAAGGCGAGGTAGCCATTTCTCATGGCAGTGAATATTATTTGGGGGGAAGATAGAAACTGCAACCACCAAAGCATTACTGCAAAGTGGTTGGGAACATATCACGCTCCTGGTTGGATCAGGATTTTCTCATTTTCCTAGGGTTTCTTTTGGAGGAGGGGGGAAGGGGATTTTTGTTTTGGTGATTGTGTGCGCCCATTAACCCTATTTCACACCATATACTCTGATTTTTAAATGTTTCCAGCCTCAGAACAGTGGGAAGCTGGTTGGAGATTGAGGAGGCTGTTCAAAAGAAGTTCAGGAGCTGCCTCATAGGGTTGCAGAAGGAATTAAATGAGAATAAAGTTGTAGATAATCTGTCTTCAGAGCTTTGAAGGAAAGCCTGAGGCATATATAGAAAAGTCAGTAACTTAAAGGGAGCCCTGCATGTTATATCATCCAATCTCATTCCTCTTTAATGCAGCATTTCCAAAAGCTGCTGTCTTTGCTAATGTGATAACTCCAGCAAGGCAGAATTGACTATTGCCTTGTTAAACTGGGTTACCAAACTCCTGTTCTCAGAACACTTCACCCAAATTTGCTTTCCTTCCGCCCTTTAAATCCAGCAAGTTCTATACCTCCAAGCACATTTGCAGAATGGGAGTTCGCTCTCATGCACTTCTATCCACTTGATCATTTGATCACATGGGGCGAGTTTCTCCCCAACAGTAAATCACCTGACCAAAACCTACACGTTGATTTGAATTGCCCCTAAGTACAGTCCTGTTTTGTAGAGCCTGCAGCTGTCAGTCTTTTAGTAGTGGATGTTCCTGCATGGGGTGGAGGGTTGTTGTTGGCTTTTTTCCCCTCTTTTATCCTCCTCCAGTAAAATGAATCAGAAAGGGGTCCCAGAGGGAAATCTGCATAGCGGCAGAACTCACTGCTAAAGATAGGCAATAGTACTCCCTGACGTGGAAGCAATAACAGGTATGCACAGAGTAATTTCTGTAAGCATTTCTGCTGCATCCCTCTCTTGACACGGAGCCTACCAGAGGAGACTGGGCATATGGTGGCAGTGATGGTGGCAGTTGAGAAACACATGGGGGGGGGTACCAAATCAGGAAGGAAGGGTGAGGGAGAAATAGTTAGAACTCTACTCATGTTGTTTGGGGGCACAAGTTGAAAGTCGGTTTCTCACACCCTGAGCTTATAACTGCACCCAGTTGCCCACGAACGTGGATACCTATGTGTCTGTCTATCCTTGATTGTGTGTGTGTGTGCATGTATGCATGCCTGTATGTATATTCCCCCACAGGAATGAAGCTTGGCGCCGGCTGATGGTGCAACAGATACCCTCGTTCTCCCCCCCCCGCCCCCAACTCATCCCGTCCCCTCGCCACGTGGTGTGGAGAAGCCAGTCACCAGGGTGGAGACAAGAAAGGAAGAGTGTAGGGAAAGAGGACCAAGCGAGGGGTGGGGGCTGGGGGTGAAAGAGAAAAGCCGGGGAGGGAAGGCAAAGCGTCCCATCCCTGGCTGCCCAGAGTCAGAGCGGCGTCGGCGGCGTCACCGGGAGCGAGGCGGGCCAGGCAGCGCACCCCGCCTCATCGTGCTCGCTCCCCGGCCGTCCAGGCAGGGCTGCAGAGAAAGGAGGGAAGGCGGACTCGGCTCCGGGCACCCAGGAGGCCCGGCCTGGGCGGGGGTGGGTGGGCGCTTTCGCTCCCGGCGTCTCCGTGGCCTAGAGGTGGCGGCGGCGGGCGGGCGGACGCGCGGGCCACCCAGCTGAGCGGCCAAAGCCGTCCGGGCGATCCTTCCCACCGTTGCGCCGCTTCCCTGCTTTCTGACAGGCGCCCCATTTCCAAGGGTTCGATCGGGCTCCGGCGAGACAGCAGATCGCGAAGGAGCCCAAGGCGGCCAAGCGGAGACGTTGGAAGCAGGTCGGTTTGGCTCTGCGGGGAAAAAAAACTTGGAGCGATTCTCGGTTCCTTTCTAGTTCCGGAACTCCGACGCACCTTTGGCGGCCCTTTTCGTCGCTGTAGTCTTTCTTTTGACTTCCCGGTGTTTTGTCCGAAGTTCTTGTCCGAGCAACCTTTACCCGAGAGAAACGTCGCAAGGCGACTTTTCCCCGGGTGGCGAGTGGGGTTTCTTGTTTAATTCCGGGCGCCCCCGCAGGAGTGAAGGGAGCCCCGGTTGGAGCGAGCCTCGCAGATGTTGTCGCCCAACTTTTCCTCTCTCGTCCGCCGGCATCGCTCTTGCTGTGTACAGTATTCTCTTCTGGGTAGAGACATCTCGAAAATAAATCCCTTTTCTCCCAGCAGAAGAAATAATAACGAATGTAGTTATAGAGGGCGAAAAAATTGGGCGTAAACATCCTTTTATTTATCGAACTTGAAAAATAAAGACCTTAATAATAACGCACGAAATATGACTTTTCCCCATAGTTTTGGTAATCTTCCTGGCGGGACTCCTATACTGTATTCCGGATTTTAGGTGTATAAATCATTTTGTTTTGTTTTAATTAATAGCTTTAGTTGTTTTTTTGAAGCAGCATTCACAAGTCAATCCACGGTAAAGGTTTTTTTTTTTAATTTCACCGACCTGAATTCGATTTCTATGTGCGCTAAATTGATCAGAAGAAAAAGCGCCGAACTTTCTTTGGCTATTATTATTATTATTATTATTACTTTTGTTCCTTTTCTGCCATTGATTACTTCAAGCCTGCAGGATATTTTGGGATAAAAATTGCTTTTCTTTCCTGTTCATTCCAATTAAAAGGGGACCCATCCACTGAGCCCCACTCAGTTTGTTTGTTTGGGGGTTTTCTCAGAGAAAATCGGCAGGCCCGTAGTATATTCTTTGGTTCAAAAATAGCAAAATTCTGGTTTTCAAAATAAGTTGGGAAAAGATTAGAAACGTTAAAAAAACAGGAGGAGATATTACAAATATAGGCCTCCAGTTTTTTTTATATTGCCCCTTTCAGAATGAGTGAATGTACTATGTCGCATTATTATTATTATTATTCTACCATGTTCTTTCTTATTCTGTTGTGATTGTTTTAAAACAGCATAGGGACGTAAAAGTGTTAACCTGAGCTGGTAAAAATGGCCAGAGAGAAACTGTGGATCTGTTTCAACTATTTATTACAACCAGTTATTTCTATTTGCAATAGTTTCAAATATTAACACACTTATTTCTCTTCAAATCTGCTTTGAAAGTACATCAATAAAATGATTGTGCGCCTTCATGTAAATATTTCTAGAAAATGATGGATGGAAACAATGACTTTTGATGTAATTCTGGAATCTTTATGCTACTTTGATTTTACTTTAAAAATATCTAATTCTTCTTCTCCATTTACTTATAACAAAGAGATAATGAAATTAGTGTTAAGGGCTCATATTTGCATTCTTCAGATCTATATTTTGAATTAATTGAATTCCATTATCCAATAAAAATCACTTTCAAGTCCATTGATTTTGATGGGAAGATTAATACATATTAGGTAGGTAGTGGGTAAACTGTGTTTCTTAAAACACAATCATCCTTTGGTGAATTGTGCCCATATGTGACTATTTTGTGGAAATGTATGAAAGGTGCCTAAATATAACTATTTTGTTTTATATATAGTGTTTTTCAAATGTTTTCTAACTTCTCTTGAACAATTGCTTTATAGGTACCCCCTGTGCCACTTAAGATTTGCTTGCTTATTGGCAAATGATTTTACTGGAATATAACAACAGACATGTTTTCTCAAATAACTGTGAAAAAAAATGTAGTGGTAGTAATATGTGAGCAATTGATATGAAGATGATTTTAAGGCAGTCGGGTTAGGTGATTTTTATTTCACTAGAAATAAATTAGAGAGGGGGGGGAGGGGATGGACACTAGCTTTTTCTAGTTCTGTCCGAGATTTCTTTCAACAGTTTTCTTTCACACTTCTTTTGTTAATTTCACTTTTTAATTTTTTCTTTCTTTCTTTCTTTCTTTCTTTTCTTTCTTTCTTTCTTTCTTTCTTTCTTTCTTTCTCTCTCTCTCTCTCTCTCTCTCTCCCCCTCCCTTCCTTCCTCCCTCTCTCAGAGACTGATGAATATGGTTTTGCTTGAGGCATTGAAAAGTAGGATGGGACGGAAAGGGACAGGAGGGGGAGAGGAGGTGGCAATCCGAATTCGCACTGAAAAAATCCACAGCTGGAATATAGCTCCATGGGCAACTCCAGCCGTCCACATTTCACTTTTAGAAACAGCGCCAAGGTCCCGGGTACGTAGCCAAGAGAAAAAGTGAGAGGTTAGTAAGCCTGTCTACAAAACCGATCCCTTTCCAGGGAAAACTAGTAAGTCCTGAAGACCGTGATCCTAGGCCTGCTTCCCAGAGACTAAACTGGAATATAACAACAGACATGTTTTCTCAAATAACTGTGAAAAAAAATGTAGTGGTAGTAATATGTGAGCAATTGATATGAAGATGATTTTAAGGCAGTCGGGTTAGGTGATTTTTATTTCACTAGAAATAAATTAGAGAGGGGGGGGAGGGGATGGACACTAGCTTTTTCTAGTTCTGTCCGAGATTTCTTTCAACAGTTTTCTTTCACACTTTAAATGCAGCAGGATCACCCACAGACGAGGCCAGCACAGGATGGCTCTATGAACGGAAAACAATTCTTGGACAATTCTTTGTAGAGCCATGCAATCCTAAGTCTCCTCTGCAATCCTTGGTGGAGAGCACCCCTTCCCGCACACCAGTGCTCGAGGTGGTGAAAGAGGTTTCCCAGACTCCCCCTAACTTTAATCTCTGCTTTTCACTTCACCTTCGAAACTTGCCAGTCCAGGTTGCTTAAGATGATCTGGGACTGCTGGGGTCTAGAAGACGATGGGGAAAGGAAAGATCTGGGGAAAGATGACAATAGGCACCGGTTGAACGTGAAGCAACCTGGAGTCTCCAGGAGAGGTTTTAGTAGTTTATTTAGACTGTACATTGGTGCATGTAGGAAGCTGGTAAACCCTGAATCTCACTCACTCTAGCTTCTGTTGTTGGGCAAATAGGAATTTTGCCCAAATCTACCATGTATGCACAGCTCGGTCGGTTTCTTGTTCATAGATTCTTTTTCAAAGCCATGAGTTTGTTTTATAAAAAGGAAGTAATGAACAGAAGAGAAACCTCTGAGACTCTTTGGCACAGAATGGCCAAAGTCTGTCTGTACACATTTGATTTATAGGTCACTACTGCTCTGGGTACATCTTGCACTTTCTTTCCCTCGGGTTTGATCTCAAAACTATATTATATGTGGATTCGGCCAGGATTACACTAAAGCAGGAGAAAGCATTTTATGGTGCAGTGTGTTGTCAGAACTCAGCTGTTGTTTTAGCATGGTTATATAAAACAGGGGATTATGTTACACAAATATTCGCTTCAGCATAGTATGCATGTTAACCTGTATATTGTGTGAATGCAATCCGTAAAGCAACAACTTATTTGCTTTGAAGTAGAATTTTTAAATGGTTAAACTGGCTATGGCTGTTTTAACCATTCTTTTATATAAAACCATCACACACAAGAGTGTTTAGAAAACAAATCACAAATAGACTTTTATAGCTGAGTGGCCAGGATAAAATCAGGATGATGATGCACTTTGATATCTCCAGGGGGAATAGATTTGGGGGGTGTGTGGATATAGGATTTAAGTTAAGAAGAGCCTTTAGATCTAATAGTTGTGTACTCACTAAGATTAGGGAAAGATTTTTAATATCCATGTAATGGCAGCTCTGATGGAAGTGAAGCATTGCCATTTTTTGTCTTCTTTAGAAAATTCCACTTGGTGACAGTGGTGTGTGTGTGTGTACGTACATGTGCATGCAATGTATCTTTATATGCAGAGTTAACTGATGCTTGTAAACAACACTCAATTCTTTCTGTTCTTCATCATTTACTTAGAGTAGCCACGGACCATTAAGTGCTAGGCAACAGCATAGTCAACCATAATGGTTATATAGATTGTATGTCAGGAGTGTTCTTGCCAAAATGCTAAATACTAAAATTTTGGAGATGTGCAACTAAATGCATATTCAGCAAAACATTTTTGAGTTTTGTTAAACTGGGCCAGCCTCAATTTACATTGAGAAGTTTTCAAATAATTTATCAGGACAACTGGAAGGGCAAGTCTTGTTCTCATTTGGAAATGAACAAGCTCACTTTGTTCCTGCATCAACAAAAGTTAGAACAGCCTTCCCCAACTGGCTGCTCTCTAGATAGGAATATTATTAACGGAATATTTTTTTAGTTGAAGTCCAATACATCTAGCAAGTTTCAAATTGGGAAAGGCTGTGTTGAAAAGCTGCATTTCCTTCGGTTTTTGCAAGCACAGACATATTTTTCTATTCTGATATTTTTAGCTGTTTCTGAATTCATTTGGTAGGACCTTAAATTGATATGTGTGTGTGAAAATTAATAGTGCTATAGGTATACAGTATGTTGCAAGCATTTTCATGCAACAATTCATCCTGTAAATTATTCCTGAATTTGCAGGAATTCAGATCATGGTCACAGTCTTAGTCCACTGGAACCCATATTTATGGTGTAAATTTCTGTAGTTTGAATCTCTGAGATATTTTCAAATTTGGAACTAAGAATATTTTTGAAGAAGAAAGGACTACTGATCAATCATTTGTAGAATTTATTTCCATTATTCTAACCTTCAGAAAACATTGAACTTCTTCTGAAGAACTTTATTTATTCACGTAACCTAGGATTTCTGGGAGTTGTAGTCCAACATATCTGGAAGGCACCAAATGGGGAAAAACCCCAACAGTAGTATACAACTGACTTCACCATTACTCATGCCCAAACATTTTTCATTTTCCTGTGTGAATAAGATCTTACTATCACTTCTGCCTTTTGATTTTCTCTCCCTCTCTGCTTAGCAGGCAGAAAAATTGACCTTATCTTAGAAGCTAATAAGGATTGGAGCTGATTAACTGCATGATTGTGTCTGTTTAGTCACTAGGATCTCGGCTCCTTCAAAATTCCACTTCACATTTCCTCATTCAAATCCAGATTTTGAGTCCCCTTAATGAGATTTGATCAAGCGATAGCTTTGGGTTTAACTTTTTAAAAAAGGAGTAAGTCATCTGAAGGAAAAGGATTGATTTCAGAAGGAGCATTTGGTTAAGGAGTAGAGGTAGCCCTCGACATACAACAGTTCATTTAGTGACCATTCAGAATTACAACGACACTGAAAAAGTGACTTACAACTGTTGCAGCTTGGCAACTGATTCATATTTATGACGGTTGCAGCATCCCAGGGTCATGTGATCACTTTTTGTGACCTTCTAACAAGCAAAGTCAAATTCACTTAACAACCTTATCTCTAACTTTAACAACTGCAGTGACTCATTTAAAAAGAAGGTGCAAGGAAGGTTGTAAAGTCACTTAACAAATGTCTCACTTAATAACAGAAAGTTTGAGGTCATTGTGGTCATAAGTCGAGGACCACCTGTATCTCTCTAACCTCTTCCCCAAACCTTACTAAAAATACTTTTAATGGGGAGGCCTTTCTGCTTTCTTTTTCTCTTTTTCATTCTGGATACAATTTCATTTTAATTTTGCCTCTGTTGTAGGTGTGAACTGAAGATCCAAAGATTCTGCCGGCCCTGATGGCTCAAATAAGACAGGAAAGATCGAAAGTGGAACCTAGGCAGTTCTGTTAGGGATTTTTCCTGGATTGGAAACCATCCTCGCTGGATCTGAGTTGGAACTGCATGGTCCATCCTGCCCTTTGTGGAGGAAGGTGACTTCATCCTTGCCTTCAAACTTGGATCTCTGGAGATAACTTGTCCGTGTGGTTGGGTTGCAAATCAAAGCCCAGTCTACACCTTCAGAGATGTACCAGAGTTTAGCAATGGCAGCCAACCATGGCCCACCAGCATATGAAGGGACCAGCAGTTTTATGCACACCACAGCTGCTGCTTCTCCTGTATACATACCCACCACAAGGGTCACTACCATGATCCCCAGCCTGCCTTACCTCCAAGGGAGTGGTTCATCCCAGCAAGGCAGCCCAGTCTCCAGCCACTCCATTTGGACTCAACCTGGAGCTGAGAGCGTTGCTTACAACCCTGGATCTTCTCATCCATCAGTATCTCCAAGGTTCTCCTTTGCTACTAGCACCCCCATACCAGCAACTACTTCCAGAGAAGCATCTGCTTATAGCAGCTCTCTTAGTATCTCGGCCAACAGCAGGGACCAGTATGCTCGGAGTTTCAGTGGCTCCTATTCCAGTCCATATCCAGCAAGTTATATGACCCCAGAATTGGGCACCAGCTGGACTTCATCTCCTTTTGATAGCCCCATGCTCCACAACCTTCAGAATCGAAGTACTCCAGGAGCTTCAAGGCACACCAACATAGGTAAGAATGAATCTTCTAAACTTTATCATACCAAGAAAGGTCATTATTATTTTCAGTATGGAATGGAATCCATTTGGAATGGATTGTATGACATTGATAAAATTTTAAAAGATAAGACATACTATGCAGCTCAGTGAATTTAGCAATTTAGCATACATAGATTATCAGCAAAATGCATTTTTTCTCATTTTGTCAGTGAAGTAGTCTTTTAGCAGATACCATAAATAAAAGAACTCCGGGAGATAGTATTTACAATTTCTTCTTCATCAGCTTTAGAAGCCAGCAATATTGGTCCCAATGACATACATGTGTCTTTTAAAAGGATCAAGAATCAACAATATGGTGATCTCACTGAGATTAAAATCAGAGAAATTCTGTAACTTCTAATTCCACATAGTTCTTGTGTTTTTTTTACCCTATTTATAATTTTCTGCACTGGTGAACTGCTTCCTATTAGCTTCATTCCATTACAATTGCAGTCCTGTTACACTGTATCTGGGAGGAAGTCCTTATGGATACACTTGGAATTGTTTCTGCTTATGTCTTGCTGTCCCCATGATCTTCCTCCATCCTATAATTCTGGACTGAAAAAGACCTACTGTTTGCTTCGGTTATAAGCAACAAAAGAGTCATGGTTATATTTATTACTTTGTATCATTTGATGCAGAAGGAGGGCGTTGGCTAACCTTTGAGGTCTTTGCAACATTAAGCAATTTTTAATCTACTATTAAAAGTGTATTGCATAAAAATCATAACTTTAAAGCTTTAGTTCATATGGATTAAACAATTAAGGCTCAAAGTACTCACCTGTACAATATACTTTGTTAGCATTACAAATGTTGCAGGTTGTTTTGAGAAAGGCATAACCTTTGGGACAGTATTTCTCAACCTTGACAACTTTAAGAGGTGTAGACTTCAAATTCCAGAATTCCTCAGCTAGCCAAGGTTGAGAAGCCATGCTTTGGAATAATGAAGAAGGGTACTGTCTCTTGTGAGCAAAATTATTCCTGCCTGTTCATCTGTAAATCAGTTAAAGGGCCTCATGTATATTTGCCTAGGAATCCTTTAAAAAAAATTGAAATTATTATCTTACACATTCAGTGATAAATTGGTAACCTATGGACTGTTGGAAGCGCTGCCATTCTAATCTCCCAGTCAGCCAGGGTCGTGTGTTTACCTTTTAAAAAAAAAACATGTATAATGTTGATACACAACAGTACATTTTTCTGCAGAAATTCATTCTATTGATGTTTGAAAAACTGAATTGGGTGTATATAAGAAACTTCTCAGAAGAAGCTGGCCACAGGTATAAGTTCTCTGGAAAAAAATAAATTGAGGATTTTAAGCAATCCATTACTTGGTATGATGTGCTTAGTATTTTGCAATGGTGTGTATATATATATATATATTCTTATTTTATATATATATATATATATATATATATATATATATATATATATA